ACGGTGAGGAATGTTGAAGGGTTTTTCACGGAATACAGTTAGAAGGAACTTCAAATTCATAATTTTGACTGGGTTTTCTTTGGTGTACAATGACATCTGGACTTTTCTTTATTTAATTTTGTTTTCATAATGACATCACGTAAACCGTATTTTTTTATTAGGTACAAATATCTTTCTAATTATATTCAAGACATTATCAGACACTTCAATTCTTCCAAAAGAAATTTGAAATGATGAATACCATTTTTAATATATTATGGTACTTAGCTTTTGGTGGTTAGTTTAAAATAATATGCTGTGTAATAGATTATTATCAATTCAATCAGTGCGTGATATATATATATATATGTATATATATGTTCGGCTAAAATACAAAGAAAGAAAGAATTTAATTGAAAATACATGATTTATTTTTCTATTTTTTTAAAAAAAAATTATTTTTATTTAGTAATTAATTATCTTGATGGTAGAGTTTTATACGAGTGTGTCCAAATACATACGCGTGATTTGTTTGGCTATTATTGCAAGATAGCTCATATATGTTCATAACTTCGTATTTATCATGGAAAGAATAACGCAGAAGCAAGCTGTAAGTAACATCTGGTCCAAAAAAAGAAAAAAAGCAAGCTGTAAGCAATAATTCGATTTGTTTTTTTTTTTGTTTTGTTTTAGGCGTAGTAATATAATTCGATTTTGTTGTTGGTACCATATGTATTTTGATCCGAAATTTTCCCCGTTTTTGATATTTGTAGATAAATTTGCAAATCAATCAACGTATTACAATAAATTTAAATACTCCTCCGGTCCTTAATATGAGACCCATTTAACTAATTTGATTAGATTAAGGAAGTTAGGTAAGTTAGTTAATTATAAGAAATATGACACATTTTTCCTAAAACACCACAATCATCTTTCTTAATACCTCATCTCCCTCTTTTACTTGATTATGGTTGAGAGAGTAGAGAAAAATTGATAAATATGATAAATGGATCTTATATTTAGGACCAAAACCAACTCAAGAATTGGGTCCTATATTAAGGACCGGAGGAGTATATTTTACTGTAAATTTCCTTTGTACTTATTCATATTGTTTTCAATTTTATAAATTATACTCCTCCGGTCCTTAATATAGGACCAAACTCTTGAGTTAGTTTTGGTCCTAAATATAAGACCCATTTATCATATTTATCAATTTTCTCTAAATTACCCTTATAGATACTCCCTCAACCATAATCAAGTAGAAGAGGAAGAGGGGGTATTAAAAAAGATGATTATGGTATTCTAGGAAAAACGTGTCATATTTTTTATAATTAACTAACTTACCTAACTTCTTTAATCTCATCAAATTAGTTAAATGAGTCTTATATTAATTAAGGACCGGAAGAGTATTAACTATGGTTATAATCGATAAAAATGATTATTTAATATATCTAACTTACTTTCGTAGTTGTACTCGATTTGAATAGTTGGAATTTCCATTTGTTTTCATTTTATTTAATACTTTCTTTATAACAAATGTAAATCTTGAAAAACTCAAATCATTCTGCTTAGTTTTTAATTTTCCCTTACATAATGGTCTAAATCAAACATACAAAATTTTAGTTACACAATATGATGATATGCAATAAAGCAAAATCTTCAAATACTTCACTAATTAATAAATGATTAAATTGAAAACCCTAAAATATTGTAACCATTTATTAGTGTTGTTTTCACCTTGCCCTGTCCACTAATTTAATTGTAAGAATATACTTATATAACTTATTAAATTTTCATGATTTATTCACTAGAACATTTTAGTATTTCTAGAAATTAAGAGTAAATTTTATAAATATTAAATATTAAATTATACTTTTCCAATCCTTAATATAAGACCCATTTAACTAATTTGATTAGATTAAAGAAGTTAGGTAAGTTAGTTAATTATAAAGAAAAGTGACAAATTTTTTCTAAAATACCATAATCATCTTTCTTAATACCCCATTTCCCTCTTCTACTTGATTATGGTTGATGGAGTATCCATAAGGATAATTTAGAGAAAATTAATAAAGATGAAAAATGGACATTATATTTAGGACCAAAACCAACTCAATAATTAGATTTTATATTAAGGACCGGAGGAGTATTTTTTTACATAAAAAACAAGCTATCAAGTCATCTTTATTTAATAAATTTTAGTATTTTGTAAACTTAAATTAAACAGATCCAGTTCTTTGAATCTAACTTTTACACACACACACAGCTATATAATTAAAGAATCATATTTTTCACGCAAAAAAAAAAAGAATAATATTTTTAATATAGAGCATGTTGTAAATATTTTTTTGTTGGGTGCCTCTTTGAAGTGTGATTCGTTTTTTAAAGTATTTCGTATAAAAAAAGAAAATAAATGAGACGTTTGATTTGCTGAAACACGCCTATACCAAGGGCGAATTAAATTAATGCGTCGACTTGTTGAAAAGCATATAAAACAGAATATGCCTTTTTGGCTTGTGATAATTAATCATCATTAATAATCCAAGTCAAGTCACGCTTAATTGATTACATCACCGCTTAAATATAAACTAATTTAATTTTGTGATGCTTTCGCTTTTCTTGTCTTTGCACTTCACACAAGTTTCGTCATTTTATATACACAATTTTTCCCGTTTTGTTTACGTTTTAGCATTCCTCAACATTGAGAGAACAGAAATGTCCATATATTATTGAAAATAGTTGCTAATTTCTAAAAATAAAATATAAATATATTAATAAATAAATAAATAAGTGTTTTTTAATGTGCTTAGAAAAAATTATAATTGATGCTTGTATATAATATAATTGCACACACCCAAACACACATTTCTGACCTTTTTTTTTGGCCCGACTTTTTGGTGTACGTAAATTGCATAGGGATTGATTTGATATGTTGGCGTATGAATAATATCATGATTTAAGATATTTAACTTATATTATAAGCGGTGTATTATTATTGATTTCTGCCATAATTTAAACTTGAATTAAATAAATATTAACGTATTAAGTGTTGTTTTTTTGGGGGAAATTTCAACCATTAGGTGGTTGTACCAAAATAATGTTAGAGGCAGTGCTTAAACTGAATTACTTTGAAGGGGTGTTTGGGATGTACTAAACAAGTGCTTGGATACAAATAGAGATAAAAAAATTTTCACATATTTATTTCAAACTTTGTAAAATAACTTTTGAAATTATGGTTTGATTTTTTCTCAAAACACCTTTTAAAGTGTAATCAGTCTTAATCATTCTTCTAATGATATATAAATCAAGGCAGAAAGTTAATTAAGTGGTAAATCACGTATATTATATATATATATATATATATATTAAAATATTGGTATCTGGGCCACGAAGAGGATCGTACGCAAATTTTAAGGAAATCGTATGCATTTCTTAATTTTTTTAAAAAAATTTGGGTACGTGGAGACAATTCTTTGATGAAATTTTGTTATTCGTATACCTTGATTATCGGCTTAGAGTATGTTGGATTAGCGTTGGACAAAACTGACTTTTAACCCAATTAACTTTTATAACTGATATTAGAGTAAAAGTCAATTTGGATATATTTGGATAGGAGCTTTTAAAAAGTCAGTTGAAAAAGTTAAAAGTTATTTGGATGATTAATAGAAAAGTTAGTTTAGTTGTAAAATGACTGAAAAAGACATAGACTTTATTAAATAGTAGTATTTGAAATTTTATGTTTTTAATGTGATAATAGTTTAAGAAAATACATAAAATTATTAAGATAAAATATAAATAGTTTATTTGTGAAATTATCAAATAAAAAATTTGTTACGGAGAAAAATTTGAAAACATATTATAGATAAATTTGAAAACACCGTATAGATAATTAATTAAATATATATAATGGACAAACATGAATATAAATTAAAATTCCTTTGGTTTGAATAAAAGCTCATTATGCTAACAAAGGAGATAAGGCAGAGGAAAAAATGTGAGGATAAATCTGAGATGTTCATTTTTAATGATTACCGTTTAAAACTGCAGTTTGAAAATGCAGTTTTTTTTTCGTTGAGTTTAACTAAAATTGAAGGCCAGAAGTTAGTTGAAAAAGTTAACTCAGCCAAACAACGTTTTTTGTTTGACTCAATTTGCAACATCAATTTTATCATTTCTAAGACACTTTTACTATTAGAAATGGCAATCCAAACATACTCTTAGTGTCTTAGAACTCAACTTCTGGGCCCAAAAGAAGGCTTTATTAACTTTGGTTGGTTTTCCTTTATTTCTACTGTACGCGCATTTATTATTTGATCATTAGTGTCATATTTCTTTTTTTTTGGGGGGGGTTTGATAAGATGTGAAGCTGACTTTTAATTTGTTTGAAAAACATCTTTGATTATTTTGATTCATTTCTTTTTCATTTTACGAATTAAGATATCTAATACAACACAGCACACGTTGGCAAAAAAAATGCAAGTGCACGTGTGAGGAGAGTCTGCCACCTACCATTGTTACATAATACTCTATCCAGATTAATCGATTACTTAGATAGGATTTCAAAAAAGTACTAGATATTATGTGGATGGCCCAAAAAATTATTAGAAATATAATAAAACGGTACACGAGAGAAAATGAAGAATGAAATCTTAGAGCTATAAATTACTACTTCTTATCATTAATATCAAATATATATAACTAATTTAAAGATATTAAAAAAATTAATTAAGTTGATTATTTATAACGGATATGTGTTACTTCTTTAACATTTAATCTTTAATTATATGCACTAAAACTATTTTTGATAAGAACTTCTTACAATCAAATAGAAATATTTTGAATAAAAATTATAAATTTAGAAGACAAAGTAGATTCAGATATTATATTTAGAACTAAATTTAACTCTTAACTAGTTTTTATATCAATCACCCAAGGTAGTACATATAGAAGAGAAACATGGTTTGAAGTTTGAAAACAAAAATATCGAAACCAAAACACAAACACATAAAATCAGAGACAGAACGAACACAACAAAATATGAACATTTTACTTATAAATTTAATCAAAGTGATTCATCATGTCTATTACAAGTATCCGACACGGACGTTGATCAATAATGATATAAATCCTCGTGTTTTGAGGCCAGATAAATCTCTTAAAAGCATATGTATATACACACACTCTCAAAAACCTTAAACTAGAATAACTTAACTACATGAATAATTAATATCGTCATTTAAACATGGGTTTAAAACAAATGCAAGAAACTGGACCATTGTGACGATCCTCTTCTTTCATGTGCATGGACGTCTGAATGTGATTATCATTACTATTATTACTCTCGGCCATGGCTGCACGAGGGGAAGGAGCATGAGGAGAAGGAGACATCATGGTCAACATTTGTTGGTTGACTTCTTTGCCTTCACTTATAATTCTGACCCTGCAACTTTCTGGTGCATTCTGCAGAATCTGATCTGCTATCCCATTATTCCCTCTCTTTGATCTCGATTTTCTGCTCATCCAAGAATATAATCAACACCAAAATCTTTCAACTTAAGCCATGAAAACAGGTAAAAAAATTTTTTAGAAGCACGTCATTTGAAATCCGAAGATCTCCCAATGAGCATTTAAAGCAGCTGTGACTCAAAACAAGACTTTTGGTTAAACTAGCACAATCCCCTTACTAGCTCAACTATGCCCTTGCAAGTAAAAAGTAGCATGATTTAAGGTATTGTTAGGAGCAAAAGTTTAAAAGGAAAGCTCATCCAGGGTAGGAAAGTCTCTTAAACTTGTACTAGTACATGCATACCTTAGATTGGATTTGTTGGTTCCAATGACAAGCTTTTGTATGTGAAGAATGGGGACGAGCTCCAGGATTGCCTTGGCCACCGTGTCACTCTCAATTAAAATGGTGTCCACCTTGACCTGTTAATTAATTAATTAGATCAACAAATTAATTAAAATCTCTCTTTGAAATTAATTAATTACTTGGAAAAAAAAAACAAGCAAGAACCTGCGAAGAAGAGCATAATTGGAGGAACTTGGAAAGCAGGAGTCGTCGCTTGGCACGTTGTTGAGCCTCATAGCTCTCAATCTGCTCTGCACTCACTTGGTTCTTTGGAACCATACCCATTCCCACTGTGCGTCATATCATTAATCCCATCAACGAGGTGGTAACATTAGTGAAAAACACTAATTTAATTATATATTAAATGATAATATATAAAATATATTTTCGTCTCTGTTTTAAGTGTAATTGTATAGGCACCTGTAGTAGTAATTGAGTTTATGATATTGCATCTAATTCTTGCTATGTATTTATTATAAAAGCAAAAACACATCCTCGAATAAATTAGAGATAAAAAAAATTTAAAAAAGTGACGTCTTAGAGATTGAACATGTCTTTTAATTTGTTACTGAAATACAAAAAATAACTTTTACAAAAGTTGCCACTATAAACTGATTAAATACTATATATAAAAATCACAATAATAAGCAACAAAAAAATTTAAAATGTGTTTTTCATTCTTTACACAGCAATTAAGCATCTCCTAACATAGCCAGATTCATAAGAAAATTCTAATGTCAAACATGCTGATTAATGCCTTTTGACCTTAAACTTCACATTTTTCTTTGTAATTATTGTACTAAGCGCGGCGCAAGCTTTAGGAGAATCAAAATTTTCAGCAGCAGTTTATACTAAATGTATAAATAAAATTTCTGCTCCAGCAAAATTTTTCTATCTATCTTTCTATAAAGGAAAATCGATTTAGCAATTTAAAAAGAGAGGTAACGATTTATTTTTAAAAGAAAAGGCTTATAAAAATACTCATAAATAAAATTAATAAAATCTTGATATGATTGAAACTTTCACCTCCCGGTCCCAAGCTAAGCCAAATAATCCTTATCATTAATAAATTTCTATGGACTCAATAAGAGCGAAGGAGATTAAATTTCAATGGACTTAAAAAAAGTCTAACACACGACGGTGATGAGGGGATCAAGTTTCTATGGGGGTAGGCCCTCGCTTTGACAAAATGTGCACTCAACTACCTCAAACAAAAAAGACAGCCTTGTAACTAACAGGGGTTGGATCTAACAGAAAAGATTAGTTCCTCAAAATGTGATGAACCAATGTTTGAATTTCTGTTAGGAGAGGTGCCTATATTTAGTACCTGATAGTATTTCGAATAAGATTACCTCTAATAAAAAGATACATATGTTTTAGCCAAAAAAACAAACAAAAAACAAGACAACCTCGTACGCAGCTGCCAATCACATACAGAGAACAAAAAAAACATGTTTCCTTGCCAAATCTAGCTTGTTTGGCAGTGCGGGAATCCCTATGAGGGAAAATCACAGTAATTTAACTAGAATTACATAAAAGTCCTAAGAAAAAAATTGATAAATCTCTTAAAATTGAGTTATTGTTAATAAGTCGCCTGAAAAATACTTGTGCAAAGAACAGATAGAAGAATAAGTTGTAATTTAATCAATTTGACTCGTATATATTGATGGATGATTTGTAGGTCCTTCTCCAATATTTGTAGGTCAAATTGAGAAATTTATAACTTACTATTATATTTGCAAGCACAACTTTTTCAAGTAACGTATTGATAATAACACAATTTTAACGAACTTATTAATAATTAATTTCATTGCTTGAGACCTTTCTATAATTTTTTTTTTGGTCTAGTAGTAAAAACAACAAAAATTTAGGGCCGTATGATGTGTTTGTTAATAGTTAGTTAAGCCCAAATTAAAACAAATTAAACAGATGATTATTTGAAGTAAATTTGAGGACATGAGAGTCCCGACAATTTTGCTCTAAATGAATAAATCTGAAAATGAATTAAAGTAAGAAAATTCAAAATTGTGGCTCACATGGATTAGGAATGTGTTTGATCTCAGGGAAGACGTGGATGAGATAGACCATGGTGGAAGGAGAAGTTATCAGGTGCTTGAGGGTCCACGAAAGAGCCTCCATGCTCGTCTCGCTCTTCCCCACTCCCACATACACACAGTCCTCTTCTTCGACCCCCACCGCTGCCGCCGCCCATGACCCGCCGTGGCTCTCCTGCACCTCCGAAGACCTCTCTTCCTCTATCTCCCACAGACCCTCGCCACCGCCGACCCGGGCGTTCTTATCGTCGTGGTCGTGATCCATGGCTTCGTCGGAATACTGACAGCACTGAATTGGCTCACTTAATATTACAGACATAACAACAACATATATATAGGTATATGTAGTATGGATCTCTTTGAAGTGGTCTTTTGGTTCTTATGGTCTGAGATGGTTGGTTCTAGCTTTCTCTCTCCACATATGAAGAAGAAGAAGGTAATGGAATCAGACAGGGGGCTTTTTGTTGAAGGTTTTTGAATGAGAGAGATAACAGCAGATTTTGAGACATGTTAAGGAACGCGGCGCCGGATTGAAAAGAATATAAATTATAAATCTGCCTCATAGATTAGATCTGGTTTAGGTTATTCACTTTCGTTATAGTTTTGAGGCTGTTTAGAATGATATATAAATAATTTTTTAATTATAATTTACAAAATGCTTTTCAAAGTTGATATCGTCATCTGTGTAAGATCTATTTTACATGTTTCTTATTTTTTTTTAAATTAATCATATTAATACTCTTCAACAATAATCAAGTTAAAGAAGGAATGAGGGAATTAAGGGAGATACCTAGGATGTTTTAGAAAATAATATTGTATTAACTAATTTAACTAATATCTTTAATTTACTGAAATGATTAATGAGATTTTATATTAAGAACCGAGAGAGTATTAGATAAATATGTTATAAAAGTTTTATCTTAGTTCATGTAAAATTACTTATAAGTGCTTACCTAATACAAATACAAACAAACCCTTTAACATGTACAAAAAGAGAAATTGAGTTACAAATTACTCCTAATTTCCTCCTTCAATAATAACTTTATATGAATTAGTAAAATTTAGTTAAAATTATTTTTAATAAAAATTATTAGTTAAAAAATTTTATTAATTAACCAGAAGATTTATACTTTGTTAATGATACTAAAGAAAAACACTAATATTTCAAGTAATATATGTTATATCTTATAAAATCTTTACAATAAAGAATGGAGATAAATTATACTTATGATTTGAGACATATGAAAATAAAATTATATACAGTCAACAGTAGCTATTTTGAATGGTGTGCCTTTCATTAGATAAGATCGGCTCTTGTTCTTTTTGTTCCCCAAATTATTCGGTATCAAAAATTAAATTAAACCTAACCAATATAAATTTGAGTGGAATTAAATTCCAAATATAGAAAATTATATTCTTTTAATTTTTCATGTCAATGAATTTAAAATCAAAAATTTATTTTTAAACTTTAATGGTTAGAATTTTTTCCCTAAATTAACAAGTACGATTAAAAGTTCAAATTTTATTAATTAGAAAAAAATTAAATTAGAGATATAAATAAATACTGCGATTTAGACCATTTTATGTGATTTTCAATTTTATATTGTACACATACAAATGGTTCGACTTTCAATAAATTCTGGTCAATGACGTACATCATGCAAAATTATTGGTACCTAAAGCATCTCAAAAATAAGAATATCTTATCTTACGAATTTACAAGTTCCTTATCCTTTTGTATGAATTTATTTGCAATTTTTTATGATTTTTTCCCGAAGCAATTTTTTATGGTTTAATTTACAAATTTCAATGCCTTATCTTCAACTATATTTTCAATATTTCTCTAGTCCTAAATATAAGAACAATTTTGTAGTGTAATAATTACATATTTAGGACAAAAGGGAGTATTAAATATTTTTGTAAAATTTTTCAAATATTATTATTCCAAATTAGGCATTCTTTTTTATATCAAAGCTTAATTTTAAATACCTGTCCACATATATACAGCCCACACTATTATCATAACTTGAACTAACAATCTAATATCAAGTGATTACATGCATTGCATGTGAGTAAGCTACTGTAGTTAGTGAATGATAAGATTTGTTATAAATTTAACGAGTTATATTAGTATTGACATGACATTTTATTATGGGACTAAGATGTGCATGTATCCGTGAAACAGAATAATACACATTAAAGTTAATAAATGAAGCTAAAATGTCATAGCTATTATACCTATATTTAATGTTCATCACTTTATGTGGTGGAGCCTGCTTGATGTCTAGGCATTAGTAACGAATATAGTTATATTACACTTGGCAGACGTAACATTTTTTTATTCATCTAAAAATATTCATGGGGATTACTTAAAAAAATTTATGTTATTAAGTACACGCAAAAAAAAAAATGGAGTACTTTATAACTTGATTTTCACTCTTTTGTGCAAATTATTTGACTTGATGCTACAAAAAAAGCACGTGTAAAGGGCAATCAAATAAACATATTGAACATTGACTTTGACTTTTGGTGTTGTGTTGAGAGAAGAGGACATGCACAGCAATGTAATACAGCAAATTATGTTCTGCTTGCGGCCCTGCACTTTTTTTTTCCTTCCCAATCAAGGAGAAAGACGTAACAAAACTCATATTTTCATTTGAAAAATATGGCAAAGCGGAAACTCAATCGTATAGCTCAAAATATCAAATTTATTGAGGATATTATAATCAAAATAACTAACATTAGCTCGCACTGTTCAAATTTCAAAAGACAGATCAATGAAAAAGTTTTTTAAAAGAAAAATACCATTAAAAAAAAGGGGAGTATAATTTAGAACTAATAACTGAGGTGCTGGTCATAAGTAAGCTAATTTTTTATATTTGTTAAAAAAAAAACATATCCAACTATTTGCAACCGTGGATCTACGTCGTCATGCCATCTATCCTGGGAGCACTTAATAATTGTGCAAGACATTTTAAAATAACCTGGGTCATACTTTCAGTAGGTTTTGGCCCAGGTCATTGTGGAATATGCGGGAATTATGCCTTTTCGTTTTTGTCACGTTGACTTCTGTGTTGAGTTTTTAAGTTGAATGATAAAATAAACTCGTCATAGATATAAGACTCATTTTATAATATAAATTACACTATAAAATGAGTTTTATCTATAGGATGAGGTGAGTATTAATGTATTATAATTAAACTGTAACACAGTTTGTAGTAGTTTTTTAGAAAATATTTTACAGTATACAAAATAAAGTATGTGAGAAGAGTTTTATCAAAGAATTTTTTTAATTGATTGCGAGTGGTTATCCAAATTCTCCCGCCTAGTAATTCAGAGTTTGTCTCGCAGGCATTTTTCTGAAAAACAAAACAAATATACGAAAGGTTTCATAGTCTGGAGACAAAACGACAACTTCCTACTTCTAGTGAATAATGATGATATATCGATTCATATGATTTTTAACAATCCGTCCATTTAAAAAGAAATAGACATTTTAGTATTTACTTGGTTGACTTGAGATTTATTTCATTTGGGACTAACGGGGCCAACAAGCCAGGGGAGTTTGCTTCCCTGCTTGTGGCTGAAACAAGAAGAAGAAAGAGAGGTGACAAACAGAAATAGGTACTGGCGATAGAAGACCGTGGTAGAAGCCTAGTAACATCAAAGCTCTTTTAAGTGAGAAGCCTTAGGTTCGATTAGGTTTGATAAAAGACTGCAAGAATGAGTGCAGAAAGGTAGAACTCATTTAGGTTTTGGAGAGGATGAAAGAGGGCAGATGGGTTAAAGACCCAAAATGCTTTTGTAAGGAACATCCTGTGGGCCTCATTTCCCTAAACTGAAATACAAAAGAAGTTTGGCCCAAGCCCAATTTCATTCATTTCATGCTCAATCAACTATACTCCCACCAGCCCACCAACAAGTGTTGATCCAAGTGAAAGGGATTTAAACACTTTAAGCATCATATTCTGAGTTTGATCATTGGGATGATGTGTATGGAAAAATACTCCTCCGGTCCTTAATATAAGACTCATTTAAGTAATTTGATTAGATTAAGGAAGTTAGTTAATTATAAGAAAAGTGACACATTTTTCCTAAAACACCATAATCATCTTTCTTAATACCCCATCTCTCTCTTTTACTTGATTATGGTTAAGGGAGTATTCATAGGGGTAATTTAGAGAAAATTGATAAATATGAGAAATGGCTCTTATATTTAGGACCAAAACCAACTCAAGAATTGGGTCCTATATTAAGGACCGGAGAAGTACATAGTTAGGAAGGATTCCCGTTACAGAGAGTATCCCGAGAGATTAGTGTCTTACCGTTTGGATGGGAAGATATTCTGGATAAATGAAAAAAAAAAAAAAAGCTCTCACCAGGCCAAATGAAGGGGGAAGAGTCATGTAAGTCTGATGTCTTCATGCCAAACATCCTCTTCTTCAGCGGGTTATCCACGTGGCGCCCAGAGCGGTGGGAGTCGTTTCAGGCTTTATGCATGAAGAAGCCAATGGAAGCACGTGGACATGGGGTTTGGAATTTGGAGGATGAACAACGGGGTGTGGGTTAGGTATTATTTCTTTCGAATCATTAATTATTAATAACTAAATATATCAAATTATAAAACAAGAAGAAAAAAATGAAAGAAATTAATGTTATGCTACTGTGTTCTTCCGCACAGAAAGCGTGAGTTTGATTTGCTTATTCAACGTCTGACCACTTGGACTTCGACCAGCTGCCTTTCTTCTCACACTTTTCTTGGAATCAATTTCCCATCGATCTTTTCTTTCTCTTGTATACCAATATCTCAATCTATTTAAGTTCATCACTCCCACAATTTTAGTTTGAGGATGAGAATAGAACGAGGGCAGAGGGTCACAACAAAGTTAACATCGGATGGTCTTTCTGGCATTTTTAATCCTGAGGGATCAACCTCACTAACGGTTGAAAGTAAAAGGAGCGCTTAAATTGAAAAAAATAATAGAAGGACTAATTCAACATTATAAGGAGTGAGAGTTTAATTTTTCCTTTGAAATAATAGGGTCCAACTTTGAATAGGCATTGGGCGAAGTCATGGGGAATATGTGGGAATTATGCCACCTTGTTTTTTTCACATTGACTTTGCTTTTAAGTTTTGACATTTGAATAAAACATACTCCTCCGGTCCTAATTATAAGACCCAATTGACTTATTTGAGGAGATTAA